AGGCCAATTTAATGTTTATGTATATGTATATGAGTATCTGCATGCTTAATTAATGCAAATCACCAGCACTTTCAGGAGTTTCACAACAGCCCAAGCTAAATCCTCCAGGAGGAACAACGCGAGTAGTTTATACATTCCCTGTATCATGGATAGCAGTTTCTGAGTCTTAATTTATTTCTCATTCGGAATTAGGAGCTCAGCAATAACTATTTCAAAGGGAAAGAAATAAGGGCCCATTGGATCAGGCAGACAAGAAACAAATGGGAAAGAGCCCTTGTTCCCAGCAGGCAGGGCAGTCAGAAGCCAGGCAAGCGCCGGGCTTGCCCTGCCAAACAACATCGTGCTGTGCCAAGAAGCTGCTTCCACAGCGTCAGGGCTTCCCCTCAACCCCTTTCTCTAGAAAGATGATGTGAAAGAATTGCACCCTCCTAAAACCCCCCAGACATGGACTCAGCAATGGCAGCGGCTGCTCTGAAAAACAAGAAGAGTGTGAATGTTGAGAAGGGCCGGCAACGATGAGGCTGCTGGGCAGGGAGCCTGCGTTGGGGCCGGCGCTCATAACAGGGCCGACACGATGCATTCACATGCCTCAGTAAGCGCAGAGACGCTTGTGACAAGGAGCCTTACAAGCTGAGCAATTAGGGCCCACGCTGCTCCGACAGCAGGGCCTCGCGAGCTCGCTGGAGCGCCGCGGTGGGCCGGGATGCCAGCAAGGCCCGACCTGCGGCTCCCACACAAACAATGGGAAGCTCAACCCTGGCTACAGCCGCTGTTCCCCATACAGCGGTATCAGCAGAACAGGCCAAGAACACCCAAGCAGCGCTACTGAAAAATCAGACAAAAGAGAGCCCCACATAAAGCAGGGCTGAGCACTCAGGAACTTCACAAATCATCACCAAGGGCTTAACTTTGAAAAACAAGCACATTGCTGTGTTTGTTACTAAAATGCAATATAAATAATATCACTTACCACAGCTGATAGAGACACAGGTTCCTGCTCACAGTGAGCAGGAACACATAGTCTTACCTGAAGTGTGAAGTGCTGGTCCACTCACAGATTTAATTTATCTATGCAAGAATAGGGCTCTCCTGCTATACTTCAGAGACTCTCCTGGTTGAACATTTCTTACAAGCCAGGTTGCCACAGGCACAGCTTCATCGGGGGCTGTTTTATGGACGGCCACCAGTATGAGAGTTTACAAGGCCGAGAGTAATCAGCTGTCAAGGTTGTAGCCACAGGGCTGTAATCAAGCCCTGTCAAGGCCTTTCAATCTCCTAGAGTTACCAAAATCTTCCCCATGTCCTAGGGATCTTCCCCAGTGACCAGGTGTCTTCTGAGCCTCCTGGCTTTTCATGCCAAACTTTGGGCCAGCTGTTTTCGCTTCATTCAAGAAGTGAACCATTCTTTGAGTCACCATTCTCTGAGGTCCCAGGATAGAGCCCCAAGGCTTCCTGCTGGTCTGCAATAGACAATATTTGAGGGGTAAGAGCATACATCTGTCAGAGCTGACAGCTTTCATAACCAGACACTCATCCTGGTCTCACTTTCAGCTAAAGGAAACTGCTTTCCTGTCTCCTTTTCCAGCTTCAATACTCGGCTGCTGCTGTGCCAGACCACAGTGAAAAGCTCCTTTTCCAGACCAGACCACTCCAGAGGCTGAGTGCCCTATGAGCACATTTTAGTATCACCTTTTGGGGTCATCTGCTCCTTCATCCTAGGATCCCTTTACAGAAGAAAATAGGGGAATTAAATAATTGTTTGGGAAATGCAAATACATATTCTAACTATACCCAAATTAGTTAAAACCAATTTATAATTTGTCCACTCTCATTCTGTACTAGTTCTGTACTAGATTTTTGTGCTACATAAGACATCTTTCTCTCTAAAAACATTACATTTTGTAACTCCTGCTTCTTTTTTGTGTATTTACAAAATAATTTGAAGGTAAGTTTACAACACCTTTCTGAATCCAAAAGCTGGTCCTCTTTTTCCACTTGTACTGGTTGGTCCAAGAAAAAATTCAACTCATACCTGCAATTTTTGTCATGCCTATGTACTGAGATATCAGTGTTAAATCAAAATTTTAAAGTTGCATATATGTGATTTAAGTTTTATTTTATTATAAGGCTACTAGGAAATTTCAAGTGAAAAGCAAAACATTTGCCTAATATTTCTAACTGTTACTGCTTTCCATTTGACTTCAAGAATGCATCGTTTTTATTTCATGCTAAGCAACACTCAAAAATATTTTAAAAAATGTTCATTATAGTATATTGCACTCAAGCTGTGTAAGATTGGTGCTCTTTTCAAAAAATTACATTGCCAGAAGATGGCACCTGCTATACGTATTTGATGCTTCTGAAATAACAAAAATATACAGGCTGCTACAGAACAGAGAGATTAGATACATAATTGATTTTTTTCCCACTTTATATTCCAGAGATTATAGACTAGAGGATATATTCATCATACCATGACACTTAGTGACTTCTGTAGAATTTATTCTCAATCTTAAATAAAATCTCAGTGAAAAGCTGTATCTGTTACAAAATAAATGTGCGCTACAGAACTATCATTTCCTCCACACATGCTTATTTTGAATTTTCTATGTTATATTTACACTATTCAGTCTACAGCATTTTCTCCATAATTAAAATTGTGGGTTTGTTTTCAAAATCAAAACAAACCAGAGAAATATTTTCCTTCTTAATTAAAAAAATCTATTATTCAAAATGGAAAAATGGGGTTTTTAAATATTGGAACTTTGCTTCTTCCTTTTTTATTTTCTTTCTGTCCATTCTATCAGAAAGGGAAGTATCAATTTTTAATGTTTCCCCTAGTTTTCTTTTTTCTTCATAGCTTTTTAAAGCATCTCTGATTTCATAGTAGTTAGAGTGATAAAATGAGAAGCAAACATGAAAATCTTAAAACTGACAAAAAAAAACCTTTTTATTTTTCATTCGGTCACACAAAAGGAAGAAATGCAGGAGTCTCTGGATATGAACTTTCAGTTGGTACCTAAAGCATATAAGGCAAATTCTGCTGTTCCTTCAGGTTAATGATGATTTCTGAAATTCGTTTAAAAAAAGAAAAAGAAAAAATCCAATTTGGCATCATTTTTTAATATGTTCAGGACTTCTTTAAACTTTGTGACTGAAGCTTTTGTTACAAAGTAGGTCAAACTGTCTGTGTCAGGAGAGCTCTGAGTGAGCAGAGGGGAAGAGAGGTTCCTGGACACCAGCTCCTATGAAAGCAGGAGTGCAGCTACTGGAACTATCGATAACTCTGTTTGGTGGTTTTAGTCCTGCATGGCAAGACATTTCTATAAAAAAAGGGGCCATCAGCAGGTCAGGAGGCTTTGGAAAATATGATTTTTGCTAAGTGCTGTCAGGGGAAAAAAGAGTAACCATAAGGACCATCCTTTGAGGATACCTTGAGATCTATGAGGCTTTTTTTTCCTTGCAGAGGTCCAGATGCTTGAACAACTAAGTCTGTTATTCACTTTCTGGGAAAGCAAACACTATCCACCCGTACTGTCTTCTTGCCCCGCTGCTGCCCTGGACTCGGTGGTTTCATACTTTACTACATTCTGAGCAAAGATGCCAAAGCACTGGCAGGGAGCAAAGAAGGCTTAGGGGAACTTCTGTAGACTTTACGACTTAAATGATCTGAAAAGATGTGCAAGGTCTGAAAGACTTGGCAAACTGAAGGCTCAAGTCAAGCTTTCTTTGTCTTCTGCAAAATTTTAAAATGAGAAGAAGTTATAACAAATATTTTTCTGGTTGTTTCCTACTGTTGTCCTCCAGAATTATTTACTCTGGCACAATCTCTCCACTTCTGTACTCTTGCTCTTCCAAATCCAGAGACTACAGAGAAGTTTTGCCCTCCAAGTTCTCTCTAGGGCTCTGAAATCTCCATTGGTATTCTTCCTGACTCTTAGTTCTCTGTTGCCCATCTACACTCTTAGATTTTTTGTGACTTGCTGCGCTTTTTACCTTACTGTCCTAGAAGTTTAGCTATGGTCAGAACCACTATCTTGTATTATTTTCATGAACACAGTAATTCATTCCTTTTAAGTCACTATTTCTAGATGTTAAAATTTTCTCGCTGTATTAGAACATTGACTTCAATGGGAAAAACCTCGGGCTTTTTTAATGCAAGGAAAATCAGTGAACTAACAATCAAAAGAGTTTTCATTTAAATCCACGTAGATTAAAAGGCTAGAAAATTCAAATGAGTACACAAGGCAAACTTCCTTGGAGGAAAACAATGGCAAACATAGATGCTCTGAGGAGCAAATAAGCATGGGAAAATACTGGTAGTTTCATTTTGGCAATGTACTGAAAATAAACTAGCTCAAAATGTCAATTGGTGAACATATATCTGAAGATATTGAAACATTTATGAGCACTTCAATAAACCATGCAATTTCTGCTATAGCTTTAGGTACAGCACTGGAAGAGCATAGATCATTTAACAGTGCAGTTTAACACTCTGTTAGGAAGGTCTCACATGTCATTCCTACCTGACACTGCCCAAGATCACACACCTGATTAACAATAAGGCCAGAAAAATAGTTCAGATATTTTGATTTTCTGTCCCCTGTGTTACTTGTTAAATCACACTTACTTCTCAGACTAGTGGCATTTTGCTTTTGTAGCTTCCATTTACATGTTTCCAAGAATTGTGATATAGTACCTGTAGGTCATACCTGTCTATCATTTCCACTTCGCCCATGGGAAAATTCAAGATATTTATCTCAAACTCGTGGATAGTTTAAGAAATTGCACTGTTTTCCAGTTGGCAGTTCACTAACTAGTACAGATTAAATGATTATTGCCTGAGTAAGGAGCCTGGACACAGACCTGCCATCTTTCATTCCAGCAACAAATCTAAATATTAGAGCAAATACATTCTCTGGCATTATTTCACATGTAGATGTACCTTCAACTACCCTTTGCTAGAGTGCAAGGCTCAATCTCCTCTCTGCAAAAAATAGTAATTCCTATATTCCCAATGCCAAGAAATATTAAATTAGTCACTTCATTTCAAGTATTAATCAGAGTACTTGTATGTTAATCGATTATTAAAACTATAACTACCTCTTTATTGTCATTGTAATTGAGGGATTCATTCTATACCAAGCAGACATACAATTTGCATTTTCATAAAACTCAGTGGGTGCTCTTTTAAAAGTCAACTGAACTTAATAAACATAACAAAAACTGGCTTATTAAATACAAATTAAAGCTGCAGACACATCAGTTGAAGTGTCACCCTGTTTTATGTTCTTTGGTTACTGCAACAAGGATTATTTTTCAAAACAAGTCCACAGGAAGACTTTTAAACAAGAATCCCAGCATGTATTGTGGAAATGTGAACACCAGGGTGATTATCACTGTGTTGTTTATTACTAAAGCTCTATGGCATTGCTCACTTACAGATACAAGCTGAATTTTCTTCTTGGAGACATTGGTGCAACTAGCCCCATATCCCTAGGATGCCCCGTATCCCTAAAGCAGTGCAAGGTTTTAAACTCATAGGGTGACTTAGTAGATTTGTCTTTATTTTAACTGTTAAAAAGGATGAATCGGTAAGAGGGAAAATCCTCTGATGTATTAGTGGCTAATTAAATATTATTGTCTAATAAAGACCAGGAGTAAATTGCAGTTCCACAGGGGAAGAAGTTTTACATATGGGAGTTCCCTAACCTAAACTATTCAGATATTACTTGGAAAACAGTGAATTCTATATTAATAGAGTTGCAGATGATACTGCTTTGTTTGAGTTGTTTAAAGGAGGCTGTGAAAGTTACGAAAGGATTTCACAGTCCTCAGTGACTGAATGAAAAAACTGCATATGAAATTCAATATTGATAAGCAAATCAGTAGACACTTGGAAAAAAAGAATACTGACTGTGCATTCACAAGGTTTGTCTCTAAGTAAGTGACCTGCTGCCCCTCAGGAAAGCAACCCCAGAGTAAATGTAGATATTTCTTGTTAAATATTAATACAGTGACTACTGATGACCAAAAAGACAAATAGAATAAGATGAATTATTAAGACTGGAACTGTGAACATGAAAGAACAAAGAATTATGTCAGGATATAAATCCACAGTGCGCCCATACTGTCTGTTTGCATTTTCTTGACTCTACTCCTCCCCTACATTGTACAGAAGCAGGATGGTCAAATAAATGGAAGGACTTGCATGGAGGAAGAGAAGAAACAGGCTAAAGAATCTTTATAATTTCTGGCAATAAAAGAACTGGAAGGTATAGAATTAGATGATCAGGTAACAAACAGAAAACAAATAGAGATACTTTTTCACAAAGTAAGTAAGTAAAATATGGAATGCCATGCTGTAGTAAATTACAGACAGCAAAAATGTAAAATGTAATGAAAAGACAAGTTACAAATTCACGGAGTATAAGTATTTTGGTGGATACTATATGTGATGGTCCAAACAAATCCTCATTCCTTTGAACTGGAAGGGCCCAAAGAAAGGTACAATCCCTATTCAAAATAAGCATCTAATCTTTTAGAAAATATTATTAGCATATTTTATTTTCCCAGAAGAGAATTACTGAGATGGTGAAGGTTTGTTGAAGAGGTTAGTTGTAGCTCTTTTCTCCAGGCAGTATTGTAGCTCCTTCCTAAAAATTGCTTACAATCTACCCAGAGAGATTGAGGAGAGAAAGGAAGCCCTTCCTCTGTGTGCTCACAGAAATGTCTTAGGTTTGAAGGAATGAACAGCTGACACCCAATTCCTGCCTGAGATCCAGGCATTTGTTTCCCATCACTGAGATTTTTGAGCCAGGCAGCAAACCTACCACAAAACTAGACCAAACTCTATAGAGCATGTCAAGATGAACATTGCTTTTACTTAAAATGCAGATGAATCATCAGTGCTCCTAGATATTAACCGTTTTTACTGTAAGAAAAACAAGAACAACCATGTATTTTTTACACTGTAAAATGTACATATTTCCATATTTACCTCGCAGGTAGAGTGAAGGCCTTATTATTATACTCTGAAGTATAATACTGCAATTTAGAGCCTGCAGCAACATACCCTATTTAACACCTATGGGGTAGAAACGAAGCTCTAGTGGAGATAAGGCATGGTAACTCTATGGTAGAAGCCTAAAAAATAAAATTCTTGTTTGCAATAGATGGGTATTTGTTTTTTATGGCCACATAAAATAGGCATTGACTTTCATGTATTCACTAGCATCTTTAGTTAAGAGGTTTCCCATCTTCTGAAACAGCCTCTGTCTAGTTTGAATCATGGCGGGGGGTTCTTTTTCTCTCTCTTGATTCATATTTTTGGGATCTCCATTATGTTTCTTGTCTTCAGCTCTACTGCAGAAAGGTATGTTGAGGCATGCTGCAGGTTACAGAAGGGGCTAGATGGAGGAATCTAACCTAGCGTGTCCCATGAGATTGGTCCTGAGAGAAACTTCTTGCCTTCCCGACACAGCAAGCTGGGAGCTCAGCCTGGCACGTGGCGGCTTGCATGCCCTGCTGTCCTCTGAGCCTGCACATGGCCTGTAGGGGAGCTTTTAAAGAAAGAGCATTGTGCAAACTCGGGACGTGACACACTAAGAAGACTATAATTTTCATATTGTATCTCCTTACCAATTGTAAATCAGTCATTTTAAGGATGCTTTCCATTCTTGCTTCCCTTCAGGCATCTCTTATTTCTCTCTGGAAAAAGAAAAGATGTAGTTTATAGCTAACTGCAGGACTGAAATGACATATATAATAGCAACAGCAGGCAACAAATGTGTCCCTAATGTGGCAATATGGTGCCTTTTGTTTTGTTTTAAGACTTTGGAGTGATAGGCAATTTGTCTTTTTGAGTCTCTATTTGAATAGTTACAAGGAATTTAGGAGACAATATTATAAATGTTCAGTAAGGAGGCCTGCAGAGTCTGACTAGGCTCTTTGAAAACTGAGTGCTAGGACAAAATAATCAGAACAAAACGCTGATTATTATGCATCAGGTTATTAACTTTAGGGTTTTTTTCTTTAATTTTATTCCTATCTTCTTTTTCTGTCAGTTAAAAAAGACAAAACAAACCAGTTCTGATCACCAGACACTTTACAAGAAGACAAGAAGAATCCGAACGCTTCAACATTGTTTGGGAACAAACAAAGCTTGAGTGGAACACTTCTGCTACTAAAAAATAAAAAATAAAAAAGGTATTTTTAGTGATGTCTAAATATAACAGCTTACCTATATGACAGAACTGAACTCCTCCCCGTAGCTATTTAAAGAACAGCTTTGCTGCTCTATCCGCATGAGGAATCCAGCTCACTTCCTCCTCTTCCTGGCAAGATGCCAAGGATGGAATAAGTGAGTGAGCACATCACAGTGCCTTGGCACAGACAGATGCAGCACAACTCCCTCGTCAGATGGAGAGACAACCTCCTTCCCATCATGACTGCCACAGCTTATTTAGTGCTTCTGAGACCTCTTTTCCTTTCCTTTCCACTGCAACTTGAGCGCCCATCACAGGAGATGGTGCAGGGACAAGGAACAGGACAGGGGATGGGACAGCCGAGCACCTGCGGTACTCAGTGACTTCAGGCGCAGGAGCTCATAGAATCATAGAAACATTATGGTTGGAAAAGACCTTCAAGATCATCAAGTACGACTGTAAACCCATTGCCACCATACTGCTAAACCCTAGGTGCCTCATCTATACGTTTCTTGAGCACTACCACAATTCCCCTTGCAACTCCTTAACCTCCTGACTCTTCTCCAAGACTCCAGTTTCACTTGGCTCTCTGCCTCACTTGCTCTCTTTTTGAAACTAATGCAATGCCTCCTCACACCTCCCTTTGCTTATTAAAATGAAAACCTGGGGTGAGCGTGGTGTGTTATTTGATATTTGTAAACATCCACCAAAACTTCGGTGGTGTCATGGGTGTCATTTTATCAAAATTATTTAGGAGGCTGATCTCTTTTTATTTGTGAATATGTTCTTAAGGGGACAACTCTCATTAGCCAAAATGCAAAAATTAAAATTAAAGTAATAAAATAAATATGAAAACCTCATTAAAATTAATCCCAGAACACAATATTTTGTGATATAAAACCATGTCAGCAGCTGTCATTATCTCATACTCTAGATGTTTTCCCAGAACTAAATTACATTAAGATGAGGTTGAAGTTAAGAATATATATCAGTGTTTTAGATTGAGATGATTTAGAGAGATCATGTTACCCATGAACTGAGTGTCCTAAATAAGAGAAATTAAAGGTTAGGTTAAAGGTTAAACCCCACATATGTTAAGGATGAAAATGTCAAAAAAAGGCATTTGAACAACCTTATTTCTGTCTTGCTTTGCTGGCACGAATCAATTCAATGTCATGTCCGCTATCAAAATACTTTCATATGTGGTCCTAAATTAAACTATCTGACTCTTAAAAGCAGATTATGTTTGTGCTTATGACATCAGCATTAAAGCTGGTTTAAACAGACAGAGTTAAGCAGAATTTTCCTCTTGCCGCACGGCAGCAAGGGCAGCCTAAAAGCCGTTGCCGCCCGGTGTCTCTTGCACCGATGTCACTTCTGTGACCGGGGTGGGCGATTCTCGCCGTCGTAGGGCCGCAGGCACCGAGGCAGCGTGGAGCTCAATATCTCGGGCAGAGGGCAAAGGGGGGAACCGTGCCGATGGTTTCCATGGCAATCAGACACCGGCAGGGCAGGGGGCAACATCTCGCGGGGATCCTGCACTTCAGACCGTGCACGTGCCCCTCGCTCGGCAGGGGACCGTTTACTTGAGATTCACCTGCCAGAAATAAGTCTCACCTGCCTTTTAAGCCTCTTCTCTGAATAATTTTATTGCCTCTGTATTTTCAGCCACTGTCACATCCAGGATCCCACATGAGCAGCTGCATAGGTCCATATATATGATCGCCCAGATTCACACCTTTGTCTCCAGCCCATGTGAGCAGCAAACACACAGCAGGTAGCATAGTAGAATGCAAGCTCATAA